CCGTTAAGCTGGACCTCAAGAGAGCTATCTTGATGCTTAATCCTTGGAAATGTTTTTTTTAAAATCTAGCAAAAAGCCTAAGTACCAAATGTATTTTCTTTCTTTTTGTTTTTAATAAAATGTACCTTTTTTAAAGACCAGGATTGAATTTTTGTCCCCTAAGAGGTTTGTGCATATGTTGTTTAATTAGCTGATGTCAACAGCTGATTTCCTTTGTTTTCTTTCTCAGCGTGTGTGTGTGTGTGTGTGTGAAAGGGCTTGAGGGTTGAAGGAATTCCCAAGTGCGCTTTCCTGGGTTTCCAAAGGGATTTTTTGCACTTGGGTGGTGGCAGCATCTACCTATCCAAAGTCAGAAAAAAGCTGTAACCTTGGGAGTTTAATACAAGCCTGGAGTGGCCAGTATTAATTTTTAGAATCCTTGCGGGCCCCCACCTTCTGCACTCGAAGTGCCAGAGTGGGGAATCAGCTTTGACAGTGCCAAATTACTGTTTTCATACCACTCCGGCCCCACCATAACAAGCATTTCAGATAACATACAATTAGAAATGAAGTTATTTACTTCAATCTGTTGGGGAGCAGAATTGATTTCTTGTCCATTTTTATCAGCGACTGTTGCTGTAAGGCTGGTTTGACCTATGACCGTGCCGTGAACTAGAAAAGCAGCAGTATGGTCATCAAGAGCTTCATCGAGAGGACTGGAGCAAAAGAAAATACATTAAATTAGGGAGGTCATTGAATGAATTACATTAATAAAAGGGTGACTTAGTGCACAAGGGGTTCATTTATCATCTCAAGGAGTTTTAGGTGACAAAATCCTAAGCAGAATAATATGTAGGGATCTCAGTTCAGTATAGAGCAGCAGGAATATTGACTTCTTAACTGCCTGAAGCTGGCGTACATTTACATCCAAGATGAAGCACTGATAGCACAGCACACGTAAGGATACATCACTGATGCCTGAACCCTAATTAGTCAGAGTATAGAAGGCTTCTGTTTCCACTGATACTAGTTCTTAAACCTTCATCTATTTCCAAGTTAGAAAATATAAAGGGCTTCTAGATGATATGATGATACAGTTCTGTCATTTCTAGAGACTCAGTAACAAACACAATACAATGAGTTGGATACTCTCATACTGATCTCCAGACAGGCATTTATTCACTTCATATCATTTCCACATTCTCTGCTCTTGTGATGCTCAGAATGGAATGAAGTGCTACAGTGCATGACTAAGGCCCTGAATCTGAAAAGTGAATGGGAATTAAATGCTCACACACTCAGCTGAACTTGGACCTTAAGCATAGCCAGGCCCCACAGAGACTTCTTTCGAGACAAATTTAAAAAAAACCTATGTTTACTTTTCTGCCTGCAATTGATTGGGAGTAATAACATGGAGGCTGCATGGAGGCCTTTTTAAAAACATCACCCTTCAAATTCATTCAAAGAGTAAGAAAATACTTCTACAATATTACTTTTGCTTCTTCTCCCTATTAGGGAATTGCTTAGAAATTAATGAAAAAAATACCATGAATCAACTTACACCAGCGACACAATCTGTGATGCTGCCCTCAGTTTTAAATCCATGACGGTGAAATATTTAGCCAGAAAAGGTTTCCTCGAGTCATCCAATACTCTAACATAAGCTTTAACGGTTTTCCCAATCTCCACCTGCAATATATATTCACAATCATTGACTTTTTCCCGGAAAAGGTATTTTCAATCATCATTATTATTTATTGGCATAAATGTCTTTTTATTGTAATGTGTAATAAACTTTTAATACTCTAATAAAAATTTAAGACTGAACCCTGAGGTTCTAGTGTTAAGCAGCCCTCACTGCCAGGCATCATTAGTGTCAAGCGAAATGAATGAATTCAGGTGTTTCAACTGGCATGGGCATAATTCAAACATCCAGAAATATCAACACTTAATTTTGTATAAGATGTACAGAAACTTGCAAGTAAAATGTTTTTTATCTGACATATGGAAAATGACCTTGAAAAAATATGTTAGAACAAGAATCACTCTCCCAAACTCTCAGAAAAACAAGACAATGTGAATTAATATTTTTTCAGAAGAATTCATGTATTTTTATTCATAATCGTTTGTATTATGGTAATGCCTAGACGCACCAATTGATCATGGATCAATTGAGCTACGGGCTAGGCAGATACATAGTAAGAATTCTGCCCTGACATGCTTACAATCTAGATAGGCAAGCTTGGGAGGGGAAACAATGGTACAGAGGAGTGAAGTGACCTGTTCAAGGTCACACAGTGGCAGAGAGGGGAACAGAACCCCAGTCACAGCCCAGTGCCGTAACTACCACGCCATGCTACCTCTCATGTACTTCAGTCTTACATTATCAGCACAAAAGCCGATGACATTCTGAGACAGTCAACAATACTGGCTGTTGAAAAAATACAAACCTTGTCAACAACTCGGACATACAGTTCTTGTATATCAGATACATAGATTTCAGCTTTAGCTGGAGCAGGGAAAGTCAGACACAAGTCATGAATCATTAGTGTTAAGGTTCCTGGAAATAAAGGATACACCTAAAATGCCAAAAGAAAAAAACTATTAGTTGATGCACATTTTTTATTTATTTTAATTTGTGTTTTCTTGAGGACAAAACTTATTTTCCTTATAGTACTGATCAAGTTGGACCCTGAATTCTTGGACATAAACAAGTTTCTTTATCTCAAAGGATCAGGCATGCAGATATTTTACCCACTGAAGCAAAAGTAAAGCTGCAAAATTTATGTAAGCAATTTTCATATCACTGAGGTAGTGTAAATGGCTTCCGGCAACAATTTCTGTAATGAACCCTAATGTGGGGATAGCCTGGGGTCCTGTATTCTCATGCTATGAGGAGGACAAAAAAACCCCAAACAAACCACAAATCATCTGGAGCAATAAACACTTTTCTTGGGGTGGAGAGGGAAGGAAGACTAACTTTCGAACCAGTAGCACGGCACCTACAGTATTCAGAATGTTACCTTACATCATCACGGGAGCTACGTTGTAACTGAGATTGGAAAAGCCATCATTTTGCCCATTGTGACTGCACTTGACTAAGTTTGCTTCACATTATGCAAAAGAATTCCATGTTTAAATACAGACAATAATTACCAGGTAGCTTTTGAAGTTGAATTTAATTTACAAAGGTACTTTATTTGGCATCATTAGACTACTCCACATGGTCCTGCCCTACTGATATTCAGTACAGCCACTCTGACATTTCAGACTGGTGAATGTCACCTTCCTAAGAAGACTGGAGTGCATTCTGCTAGTTCTGCAACCAGAAACGAAAGAAAATTCACAAGAATAATATGGATTTTTCACTGAAGTAGAGCAGGCAGATTGAACTAAGTCTATATTTTTAACAGGTAAAATGTCTGATGTATTAAAAAAAACAAAACAGTATTTTTAATCATACAGGTAGTTAAAACAAAAGGTTACTCATTTCATGCAGTAACTGTGGTTCAAGCACCCCCTATGGGTGCTCCACTCAGCTGCGCATGCACCTCTGGAAGCCCTGAGCAGAGATTTTCTGTTAGCAGTGTTCATTTGGCCTGCGCATTTGCTCTATACAATCTCATGTTGCACCCCCCAGGGTATATCGGGCTGCGTGGGTAAACTGCCCTATCTGAACATCCAACAAGAACATTTCAGAGCAGAGGGGAAGGATAGCAGGTAGTGGGGTTTTTAAATATTAGGTTTTTTAAATACATCAAACATTTTACCCTTTAAAAATATAGACTTAGTTCAACCTGTTGATGGAAGTGAGGAATAGGTGCACCGATAGAAGTCTCAATCTCTGGGATATCCCATGCAGGATCTGAGCATCCAACTCCCATTTGTAGTCTTGAGAGAAGTGCCTGCTGAGCATATCGGCTGTGACATTCTGGAATCCAGGAAGGTAAATGGCTAAGATCTGAATCTGATGGGCTACACACAAGTTCCATAACTTTTTAACTTTGGCACAGAGGGAAGGGGATCTTGCTCCTTCCTGTTTGTTGATATAAAACATGCAAGCCACATTGACCACCATCATTCTGACCGATTTGCCCTTAACGAGGTGAAGGAACTGAAGATAGCCATTCTTGACTGCCCTGAGTTCCAACAAGTTGATATGGAGAGTGGTTTCCCAAGGTGACCATCTGCACCGAGCTGTGAGCATGTTGAGGTGCACTCCACGCCCTAACAGTGATGCTTCCATTGTCACAGATACTGTTGGAGCGGATGAAAGGGATGCCTGCACAGACATTGCATTGATTTTTTCCACCAATCCCGTGGTGCCATGGGGGGCAATCCCATGGGCTGGATCCAAAGCCCAGAGGGACCGTAGTTTGCCCACCCCTGATCTAGTGGCAGCATCTGCGGCATCCAAGCATGCTTGGAGAGAGGTTCTGGCTAAAAGATGACCATCCTTAATGATGGCCTGTAAGTTCTCTATGCTCCTGTGGAAGATGTTCAATAACGGATGCAAACTTGTTTTCATTTGTACAGTCCTTGTTGGCCATGATTGACTGATTGTGATCCAAAATTGGAGGGTTGTGGATGATCAGACCTTCCATCCAAAAAGGTCTACCCTTTTCTGGTCCTTGTCATAAAAGGAGTAGACCTGGCATAGTGCTGTCTACAATGCTCGTTTACAGCATCCACCACCAGGGAATTAGGTGGGGGGTGGGAGAACAAAAATTCTGAGTCCCGGGGGGGAACGTAATAGTTTTTATCTGCCCATTTACAAGTTGGTGGTATGATAGCAGGAGTTTGCCACGCAGTCTTTGACGGATCCAGGAGCACTTCATTAAAGGGTAGCGCAACCCAGCTGGGTGTCGCTGACTGCAAAATGGAGTCAGGAGCTCGTGATGTGAGTCTTTAACCTGAAGGGAGGCTGCCATTCTCTTCACAGGGTCCTGGAATTTATTAAAATTGTCAGCCCTTGATGGTGATGGAGGTATGACTGCCTTGTCCAGAGATGAAGATGAAATAGGGGTTTGAGGTGTAGCCTCTGTTTGCCCTAGCCTCCTGTTCCTCAAAGGTCTCCTTATGTTGGGTGTTTGGTTAAGGAGACTGTGTGACTCCAGTTTCCTGGACCACTGGAGCTGGAGGTTTGGCAAATTGTTATAGATATGCTGCCCAAGATCCCAGTATGGCCACTGGGAGGCCCACACAGGAGAGGGGCTAGTACCCAGCAGTGATCCCATCATGACAAATATGGGCGAGGGTCTTTGTCAAAGTATGAGTTCCTATAATAATGTGGAGGAGAACCCCATGCTGATAAGGACGAGACTGAATGTCTCCTTCATCCTCCTCAACATCCTCCAATGGGGTGCCCCAGGAGAAAAGAAAGGAGAATCCTGCAGTACTGGGAAGCACTGGTAATTTGGAGACCAGGGTCATGGTAAAGAGAGTCATTGGTACCCATAAGAAGGGGGGATTCCAGGTCATCTAACACTGACAAGTCCCCAGAGTAATGGAATTCCTGCAGTAGCAAGTGGCTCGGTACCAACTCAGCAGTTGACTTGGGTTGTACCACTGGTTTGGAGTGCACAGGCACTGGGGACAAAGGCACATGCTTTGATTTTGTCAGTACAGATGGAGCTGAATAGGAAGGCACCATTGGTAAGTCTGAAATGGACGGTCCTGATCTGGAGGCAGATGGTATCAAGGCCCTGCCAGCACCATGTTTCTCCAAAGTGCTCAAGGATCTCCCTGTTCTGCTGGTACTGGAGAAGTGTCTTTCACCTTCATGGTACCAAGTTGAGAGGTGAAGGCCTCCGATGCCATAGACCCAACACAGATCAGGACTTCTTGGGAGCTGGCTCCTTGTGGTGGGAGACCTTCACCTTTTTAGGCAAGATCTTAGCCAAAGTTGAAGGGATACTGGCTCTGCCTGGAGGCCAACATATGGGGCAGGGAGGTGGTCTCATAACCTGACTCAGAAGCAGGTTGAAGGGAGTGCTCCTTCATCAGCTGTTTGGTCTCCTGAATCTTCTGAACTCTAGATTTTAGAGCCAGGAAAAAGGTACACTTTTGGGAGATCTGACTCTCCCAAGCAACAGGTATACTTAAGAGTAGCCGTCGCTGATCGGGATAGCCTCCCGAAAAGAGCTGCAGCGTTTGAAACCTCGTGAGCCAGGCATGCCCAGCCAGGCCAAATAAGCTCCCCAGAGGAAATGGGGAAGAAATAAAATGAGGAGAGGAAAAATGGAAATCTCTCACAACAACCTAATTCTATCCTAACAACAATTAACACTAACTAGAAATACTAAACTAACTAAACAACAGCTATAAAATAGGCTGAGATATGCACGAGGTGGACATACTAGAGCTCTGTCTCAGGCCAAGGTGGCAGAGAAAGAACTGAGAGCGGTTAGCCTGCACAACCCTATATACACCCTCAGAATATGGCATAAGGCTGTATAGAGCACCTCTGCAGGCCGAACCAACATTGCTAATGGAAAATCTCCAATCAAGGGCTCGAGAGGCATTTGTGCACCTGAAGTGGAGCACCCACAGGGACACTACTCAAAGAACAGATCTTGTTTCATTTATTTCACAAGGCCTCCTCACTGCTCACCCCTAAAGTCTACCATTCCAAGATGAAATGAAATTCATATGAACACATCAGGCATAGTATTCCTATAGCCACATGGGAGATCTGACTGAAGAGATTTTAAGAACCGAGAGCAACTGCATAAACTTCAAAAATAAATTCAGCTTCTTAGAATAACAAAACATTTTTCCCCTCTAGCTGACAGTCTCCCTGTGAAAGTATTGCAAACTCCCTCTTTCTACAGCTATAGAGATGTTTTATCAATACATACCACCAACAATGAAGAACAGTCATCTCTGACATCTCTAATATTCAATTAATTCTATTAGTTTTGTCGAATTTGTTGCCATTTACAAAGAATTCTGTGTGTTAAGTCACGGCATTAACATTCCTCCCCTCCCCCCAATAAAGAATATGATTCATATATATTATTGTTCATCGCAGATAACTCCTAATTCAAATGTATCATCGATGGATGAAGTCAAGCATAGCTGCAGAGTAATACTTAATGCATCTTCTTCTGGGTGACTACCGGTATATCAAATCCCTGTAAAAAGTGGGCCTGATATTTAAACAGACCTTTTCCATCTTTAGTTACAATACTGTTATCCTTTTGAAGTTAGAAAATAATACAGCTTTCTCCCTTAGCATTATTAGAAGAATCTGAAGATTTTACAAACATCTTTGCTAACCTAAAACAAATATTATAATGTCACTGCTGTAATCAACTTATCTTTTATATATGTTATTTCTGAACAATTTTGTGTTTTCATAACACTTTAATGATAGGAGAGTTTACTATAGATATTTTTATCACCTTAGAATCCTTTGCTGTTACTGCTTCCTGAAGTCTAGTATAAAGATATCAACCTTTATCCTGTCACTAAGATTAACTGATTGTCTGTTTGACCATTCCTAGAGGAGTGCTGCTTATGCAAGTAGGGATGTTAGATGTAACAACATTTTGGTTATGGTAACAACCCAGCTAGTTTCAGTTGTTTTCATTCAAACCTCTTGAGAATGGACAGTTTATCTGAGCTGCAAGGGCATTCGGAGTATTAGCATGCAAATGAGCACAAGTGGAGTTTATATTATGTGGCCTGCGTTCTTAACCAGGATGCAACAACTTTAGTTTTGCAAGGTCTCTGTGTATTTATGAGTACAGTTCTGCAAAATTACTCATTTGGGCTTAAAAGTATTTGAGAGCAAATTTCTATTATTGGCAGTTTACAAGCCTCATTCAGGCTTGAATTTGTAATCTATATACCAGCTCCCCACCCCTTCCTCAAAACAACACACCCATACGATGTATCATAATTTGTCTATTTACTCCACCAATGGTGGTAATTTAAATTTGCACAACCCTAATATTGATTGGTAGCCTCTAGTCTCACTCATACTGAGGCGTGTGCTGACTTCCCTCATGAGTCTCTTTAACCTTATGTAATGTTTCCAAGGTCCACTGACTTTCAACAGTCCCTGCAGAAGGAAGTTTCTTACCCTACGCAGGGGTTCTCAAACTAGGGGTTGAGACCCCTCAGGGGGTCGTGAGGTTATTACATGGGGGGGGGGTCACGAAGTGTCAGCCTCCACCCCAAACCCTGCTTTGCCTCCAGCATTTATAATGGTGTTAAATATATTAAAAAGTGTTTTTAATTTATAGGGGGGGGGTCACACTCAGAGGCTTGCTGTGTGAAAGGGGTCACCAGTACAACAGTTTGAGAACCACTGCCCTACAGTAACTGGAGTTCTTTGAGATGTTGTAATCACTGTTGATCCTACTCTGGGTAAGCACCTGCTTCACACGTGTAGAACTGAATTCTTTTGAAAACCACTGTCCATCAGGGCCACCCTGTGCCTCTTCATGTTCCCATTCGAGGTTATGAAGGGAGGGCAGAATGACCCTGCCCCAGTTCCCTCTCAATTCGCAGCCCACGTTGCTGAGAAGTGGGGATGGAAGGAGAGTGGTGGGAGTCATGGTCTGATAACATCTTGAAGAACCACCGTTACTGCAGAGTGTGCGTCAGTGCAGCTCCCGCTGTAAGTGACTGGCAAGAAGTATTCCGTCTGGATGGTGGAATGAGGAGTACCAGCCGCACCAGTCAAATAATGATCGGAGCTCTGCCCTCCTGAGCTTGGCACCAGAGCCAGCCACCACATCAAGGTTCAGTCACACTGCCAAGGGCAGCAAGAGGAAACTGAGGGAGGGTTGCAGCTGTCCAGCTCTTTATGCCTTTATATGGGAACATGAAGAGACACAGAGCACAAGTATGGCTCCAGTGGCACCCCTATCAAATCGAATTCCATGTGCACGCACATCTCCAGTGGGATCCACACTGACACATACTCAAAGAAGAACCTTGGGGACATGCTAAGTGTTGAGGACTTGAAAACAGAGGAAGTCATTTAAAGATCTCTTTGAGAGAAAGGGAATAAAGAAAACTGACTGTAGAGCTGCTGGGAGCATTGTCGTCATCCCCGTGTAAGAGATTAAGGAAGAAAAGACAGTTAATTCTTCCTTGAAAAGTGCCAAACAGGTCATCTGATGCAAAAATCCAGTCCAACTCGCCAGAGCAACAGCCAGGAATTGTGACGAGTTATCATCACCCAATTAATACATATATTTATTTCATACAAATATTTAGGAGAATAGGAAGGGATCCGACCAATTTGCATTTCTAATTCTGAATGTGTTCTTTCCGAAGGCACATTAGCACTGATTTATGGATGTACACAATGAAAATCATAACAGGAAGCTGGACTGACAGAGCGTGGAAAAAGATGCAGATTGCTAGAGTTATAGCAATATGTGTTGAAATAAGGGTAGGATGTCTGCCATGTAGCTAGTTTTATTATTACAATAAAAGCAAGTTGCTGAAATGCATTTATGACTGCATTTCTCTACTGTTATCCAAGTCTACCTTCTGCTCCTTTTAAAATATACATTTATATCTCTAGTATGGTGCATTATACAGTTATAATTTATTGTACTCCATCTTCAGATTAAAAAGTTGAATGGTTAATTCTTGACATAATAAAGTAAATGGAGAGTGGCACATTTTCCCTCAAGGTGTACCAACTGTATTCTGTACTGACTGCCTGCAGACCCCTGTAAGTACCCTGAAAGAAAATGTTGCCATTCAGGAGATAGGCCCCAATCCTGCAAACACTTATACACATAAGAACATAAGAATGGCCCTACTGAGTCAGACCAAAGGTCCATCTAGCCCAGTATCCTGTCTTCCGACAGTGACCAATGCCAGGTGACCCAGAGGGAATGAACAGGTAATCATCAAGTGATCCATCCCGTGTCGCTCAGTCCCAGCTTCTGGCAAACAGAGGCTAGGGACACCATTCCTGCCCATCTTCGCTAATAGCCATTGATGGACCTATCCTCCATGAATTTATCTAGTTCTTTTTTGAACCCTGTTATGGTCTTGGCCTTCACAACATGCTCTGGCAAGGAGTTCCATAGGTTGACTGTGCGTGGTGTGAATAAATATTTCCTTTTATTTGTTTTAAACCTGCTGCCTATTAATTTCATTTGGTGACCCCTAGTTCTTATGTTATGAGAAGTAGTAAACAACACTTCCTTATCAACTTTCTCTACAACAGTCATGATTTTATAGATCGCAATCATATCTCCCTTTAGTCCTCTCTTTTCTAAGCTGAAAAGTCCCAGTTTTATCAATCTTTCCTCATACGGAAGTTCTGAACCTTTTCCAATCCCAATCTTTTTTGAGATGGGGTGACCACATCTGCACACAGTATTCAAGATGTGGGCATACCATGGATTTATAGAGGCAACATGATATTTTCTGTCCTATTATCTGTCCGTTTCTTAATTACTCCCAGCATTCTGTTCGCTTTCTTGACTGCTGCTGCACATGCTTAACTTTACTACCATGAGTAATTCCATTTAAATCAATGGCGTTACTCATAGTACTAAAATGAAGCACATGCATGAGTATTCACTGAATCAGGACCTAATACTGGTTACAGTAACACTTGAGTATCAGAGGGGTAGCCGTGTTAGTCTGAATCTGTAAAAAGCAACAGAGGGTCCTGTGGCACCTTTAAGACTAACCGAAGTATTGGGAGCATAAGCTTTCGTGGGTCTTAAAGGTGCCACAGGACCCTCTGTTGCTAGTAACACTTGAATAATTTCTAGAACATGGGCAAAATGTAGCATGACACAGACTGTTTTATCATGGAAAGGAGAAGGACAAAACACTCATGAAGTTCAACTCTGGACCCCTCCATGAAGGTCTCATTTATCTGGGAAGCATTTAGGCTGGGATTTACAAAACCATTCAAACTGACACTGACTTCCACGAGAGCAGAGTTAGGCCAGTACCAAGCACATCTGAAAATCTCAGCTTTAGACCTCAACGAACAGCACTACAGAAAGTCTCAGAACAGCTCTATAAAAAGGAAGAACAGATTTTAAACAGCAACTATAAATATTTAAATCTAACAAATTTACTTTGTTTGTTTGTTTGTTTGTTTTAAAGGACAAAAATGCTTGTACCGGATAAGTCATTTATATTGTAGGAGGAGACCTACTACGATAACAAAAACAAATTAGCACAAATAAAATACCTGGAAAATCTTCTACAATCAGAGACATTACAAGAAAACACTTCATCTAGAAAGAGCATTTACTGTCAAATGTTAGTGTCAAGCCTTTCCTTATGTCCTTGCCATGCAAAACTAAGTAAACTCCTCCGCTGTTTCCTAACCAAAAGGATGGACAATATAGATCTTGACCATAAAGAGTGCAAAAAACTACTCACTAGATCTTGCTGTCAAATGTGGTGTGATAATAGAAAATGGAAAGGCACCAACAGGAAAGAAAATCAAAGGATTTTTACAATCTCTTAGTAAGTGCTTCCCTTCTCTTTATAATTTGTTAACAGTACAATTTATTATGAATCATAACAAGCGGTTATCTCTCACCATACCAAAAAGGCAACACTGAACAATGAGATTAGCATACTCAGATCATTAAAATAAATACACTGAAGTATTATTCTACTCACCAAAGCAATGCCTCGAGCTTCCTGATAAGCCACTTTTACAACATTTATAATACTGGTGTTGATGAAAAAATACCCAGAACCCTCTTTGATGAGGAGCTCTGCCTGCAAAAAGGAAAAGCACATGGGATTACATCTTTTTAGTACATTGCCAAAATTGTAAAACACTTACTCTCTGAGCGTTTGTGACACTCCACCTCCCACCAGATAAAATTAAAATAATTAGTAAGAAGATTCTTTACCTTGACATCAGGATGATTGTAGACTGTAACATCACTAGGACTCACTTTCACATCTTCTACAAGTATCAGCTCAATGGTGGCAGACACAGGGATAAGAGGTTCATACTGAAAGGAATAATGCAAATTATTGATCAACTGGGGTAGCACCCAATTAAAAGCCAAAGGAGAGTCAGTTACTCCTCTATGTAGGGAAGGATGGATTACCTAGATACGTAAATGGACAACGGAAGTGGAGATTAGGTAACAGAACATCTCCAACGATCAAGGTACAGATGGAGTTGCTTATCTGTTATGTATGCAGAGGTACACAACGCATGCTGCAGTGTTCTGCATTATGCCCCAAAATGCAAGACAAAGAGCATGGGTCTGTGCATTAAGAGCTTGGAAGGATTAATTTATGATGATTGACATACATGTGTAGGGTTTATTAGATCACCAGAGACATTTTGGAGGCCTGATCTTACAAGTTTAGATAGAATTCAGTCTTTCTTGTCCTCCCACATTTCCTTTTCGGAATTACACATAAGTTATCCACAAAAATCAACAAATAAAATAAAATCAACCCACAATTACTTGCAAGTACATAACCGCTATACAAAATTGTACTACAGAATCTGGTTTAATCATTTGATCCCAATGACATTAAGCAGGAAAAATGCAGAGCAGCCTTTTCAGGGGAAGTTAGTATTATATCCTCATACAAGCCAATTAGTTAAATTATTTTGCTCAATATAGAGAGGGATGTCATCCACAATGAAACACTTGGGTGCTTTACTTAAAGAGAGGACAGTCAGTCAGGACATCTTAATTAGCATAGCTATTAACAAGATATTTGTTTTGGGGTTTTTTGTTTTTAAGAAAAAAACAAAACAAAAACAAAAAGAAGTGCCAGCTTTCTTTGCCATAATGTTCATGCTGCAACAGGAATGAGCAAACAAATCAGTATTTTCTGTCATTTAAATTACTGATGTATGTGTCTGGTTACCAGAAACTGGCTGTGTAACCAATCTTTGCCTTGGCAAAATACAGGTTTCTCCCAGAAATTCAAAATGAATGAAAGCCAAAAGCTGGTACCTTAGAGGTGTGTGAAGTCATTTTGTGTCGGTGTTTTATGGAAAGGATAGCCCAAGAAATCAGTCCTGCATATTTTGGGGGGGGAAATGTAGAATTTTCCAAAGTCGAAGAAAAATTCTACAAAGTCACTATTTCTAGGTATCTGTCGATCTCTCAGACTGCCTACCTGATGTTTGGTGTTGAAATGATGAAATATAGGGCAACTGTTATTTGTTTGTCTTAAAATAAGGTAGAATTTGAAGGATCATATAGTAATACCAGGGTACTATTACATTCCACTTTCCTTACAGGAATTATAGAAGAGGGACTGAATAGATCAGGGGAAAAAGAGACACAGACCCATTCACCCTCTATGTCAATTTAAATCTAGTTCTGTGTAACCATGAACAAAAAGAATCATTACCATCAGATGGTTTCCAAGAGTTGGTTTCAGTCTAATTCCTAGTTGGGCACATGCCCACATGATACAAAACAACTTCCCAACTGGAACGAATTGGGATCCTTGCTGGCAATCTCAGTGCAGAGCCAAGGACTGAATGGCAATTCTGATTATCCTCCCACTCCTAAAAGGATCTCACCTCCAGAGCAGAGCTGGGGCATACTGACAAAGCAGGGACGAATCATATGACTGCCGTCCAAATGTATGTTATAAGCTAAGATAACTTCAGTCTCCCGGGCAATAAATTCCGCACTTTGCTTGAATCCTACATGCACCTACGCCCCAGCAAGGTTTTCAAAGAACCACTTAGAAAATATTTTTAGCAAAGCCCTGACGCTGTTTATTCTATTTTACACAAGTAATTAGACCTCCAAGACAAACAATATGTGATGCAGGGTTCTTTTGGCTTGTTTGGATTTGGTTTTTGTAAATTAGTAACTTGCTCTGTACAAGTCCTAGCCGATCCCACAAGGAAATGCTCACAACCCTCCCTTCTCCAGTTTAAAAATAGGTATTTTTCAAAAATTACGTCACTAATTTGAGTCAGACTTCACCGCTTACTGAGACTGCTTTTTGCTGCCCACCTTCTGTGTGTTTATAAAATGTCTACTTAGTTAAGCATTTTAAGGCAGATACTATGGCTCTTTATACATCTATATACATCCCCTAGCTAGCACATGGCTGGTACGATACAAATAATAACCTCAAGTCAAGTCGAACTACAGAGATACAGTCTGACAATCATCAATGTGTCAGAGTTGTAAAGGCTAAAACTTTCTGTTCTATTTTGCAACTACATCCTAAATACAGTCGTTTCCTCAATGACAGTTGTATCAAGCAAATGGTTGCTTTAGTGAAGGACAACCTGACAAAATGTCACTAATCCATAAAAAACCCCGAATCAAAGAAAATGAAGCGAAATAAAGTATGAAAATTCTTTATAATCCTCTTATCCAGACTGTGAAAAAAGAACCAGTAGGTAAATAACTAAGAATAAAGAAAAATAAAACAACTGGGGACACTATACAAATAGACTGATGTGGTTCTGTCTTGGGAAAATGCTAATAAAAGGGTTATCTTATTATTTTTAAACTCATTAAAGCATAATGCAGCAAGGAAATGAAAATATAGGGCAATCCTCATTAGGGCACTATGGGAAAAGAAGAGAGTAAATTATACTTCAAAGTACCGGTATATTCACTTTAGCTGCACTGAGATGAGACTGCTGGTATCCTGTCGCAATAGCGGAGACAGCAGTTGTTCCAGACTCACGATGAACTAGAACAGTTTGCAAGCCTGAAACAAAAACAAAGTGACAGATTTACAACAGGAAGAGCTGTTTACTAAATTTCACTTAAAGCACTCCCAATTAAGTCATATTAATCAGGCTGCGGGGCAGAAGGAGACGGGAGGTTATGGCCATTTAAAATTAATGCTCAACATCTTTTTCACTTTTATTTTATACATTTTTAAACATCCAAGGATTTTTTTTTTACATGCAGATTTCTCTTGGAAAAATTTCACACCATTAGAAAACAAGCTTTAAAAAATTAAAGGTGATTGAATGTTTTGCGGGTCAAATTATGGAACTCCATTTTCTTGGCTCTAGCATAAACATCACTAATTGTAATTAAGCCAGTATTCCTCCAAACAACATAGTGCTTAATCTTAACTGATCTGTACCATGCATTTTCTTCTGACCACTTCCATCCTCTTTTAGAGACAGCTCCATCGGCATACTGGGCTCAATGTTGGCTAAGGAAACTTTTGTTGATTCCCAGTTAATACCAAGAGAACTGAAATTATCAAATTTACGCCCCTGCTGGTCAAAAGCAGCCAAGTCCAATACTGGATTGCGATAGTTTGAAACAGGAACCTGAAAAGGAGAAAAAAAAATTTTGGACTGGAAACTGAAGAGATGCTAGGATCCCTTTGATCCCTGAAAAACAGTTACATGCAGCAGAATGGCAAGTTTCAAACAAAGACATCACCTTGTTGATTTCAATGAGATTTTTAAGGTAAAGTTTTGTCATTAGAACATTTCATAAGAAAAGTAATGGTAAACCAATATTAGATTCTACTTTTTTTTGTGTGCCAATGAGTCTACTTATAAAACACTTGAGAGGTCTCTGGATTCTGAAAAATGAAAGAGGTCTGGAGATATTAAACTTGCTATTACACACAAGATGCATTTCAGGGTTATAAATCTTTCAAAGGGCTACTAATGATATCATAAACTTCAAGTCTGATGCCTGAGGATCAACAGTGACAACAGTTCAACCCAAAACTGTTTTATAACATGTTAAAATATCTACCTCAAGACATTAAAAAAGACAACAAAGAAAATATATATAGTTACACATAAAGGCAAGACTTCTAATATTGTGAAACTAAAATGTTTTGTACTTATGAATGCTGATGCTAGGATGCCATGAATGTCGCATGCTAGCAGGGGAGCACAAAGTTTTACTCATTTGGATGATGGAGTCATATGTCCTTAACACAGGCATAACCACCAAATAAACATTGCCTATGTATTCTGGGACAGATTTTCAAGCATGCATGCACTTTTACATACGCCCAAATTCAATGCACAACACTCTCTTCCACGCTAATTCATGCACGCATGTAGGTATTTGTACACAAACAGTTGCGCCTATACAAGTTAGGCACATGTGCGTACTCGCAAGCATTTTAAAATCTGGCTCTATCGATACAATAAACGTGGACTATCCAGATTAGAATCAAAGGGTATGAGGAACAACTGTTGTACCCAGAAAGAGTTGTCAAAGACATATTTTTGTTTAAAGTCAGATAAACAGCGTAGCTGACCTGCATTTTGTTTACACTAAGTTTTCAAACAAAAATACAAAACAAGGATGTTATCAATTACACACCAAGAACTGGGAGGTCAGAAGAAGGGAACAGAACAGAATCAAATTTTGCAAGAAACCCATGCATAGCAGAGAGTACAGACAAGGGAGGAGTTCCTCTGTCCTTATCCCAGATGACCCATGAAATCCTAGGAGACGTCACTCCAGAGGCCCTCTGACAGGGGCACTTGGAGGTCAGGGGACATGACCCACATGGTTTTGCACACACATCCTATTAACTGGTTTGGTCCCTATACACACACTCAAACAATCCTCTTCATGCCCCTACATTCTGATTATTCTTGTTCCTAGCACGGGTGGAGTTGGAGTTGGAGTGCTGGTCAGTCAGAACATAGGTGCTCTTGCAGCCTGTGAGCACGGCTGTTTCGGGATACTGCCACATGGAGGCACAATTTGCCTTTCAGAGGTGAAATGAGTGGATTGCTCCTGTGTCATTATCAGACTTACCACTTGCTTGTTTTGTTGCAGCAAAGGGCAGGAGAGGTCAAGTTGAGGATTTGCATAAATAGGAGTCAAAGTGAGTCGGGAAGGGGCTGCGCAGATAAATTTCACAACGGCAGGTTCGATGGCTGGAAAAGGGTTGGTAACTGTGGGCTTATTTCCAACGGTTAAGGCAATCACCTGTATGACATTTGGGAAAGTCAACAAGAAAGCAAAGAACAACAGAGTGCAAGTATATTTTACAGGTATAACTATCCTGCTTGAGGCATCTCAGTTATTTTTTGGTGTCAAGATAGAATAAATAAGATATGATATGAAGGGCTCATGAGTTCATGCCCCAATCACTTTCTATACCACAGACAGACAAGTGAAAAGGATGCATTTTAAATGCTGTTCCAGACCATTATCAAAGCACAAATTCTCAGTCCCTTTTCATAGTTATTACTATCTCACCAAACTGACAAGAAGGTGGCTTTCAGAGCTTATAAAGACAGTCATCTGGGGTCATTCCCTCATAGGAGGGAAAGGAAGCCAACACAGAACTGAGCTGGAGGTCCTGTAGCCACTTCAGCAGCTTTAAAAACTACGTTTGTTTTTTCATTTTTTCCCTACAGCTCTCTCTCACATGATAATATCAGACTGAATTGAGTGCAGGCACCTTGGGTTTTCCCCTTCTTGGCTGCCTATGAATAATCCCTATCAGCTATTGGTGAGAATTATTGCAATGCCATTCAAATGTGACCATTTCTGTATCATGAAGGTTCCGAATTATATTTTCTTACAGAGGTCCCCGATGGAGAGGTAACAGCAAGAAACTGTTTCTTTTGGACTAACCCTGTTAGATTCAATTGGGCTTTGTGCAGTATGCATTTTGGGATGCCAGCTACATTCGGTAGTTAATAACCCTTGGAAGATGATTAGATAACTGGTCAAAATGTAGACCACAGCAAGGCAATATACAAACTGAATAGTATCTGCAGACAGGGGGATTCACTTCTACCACGTATTGCAGAAACAAGCGCTAATGGATCTTGGCTGTGTGTGTACCCAATCTTTGAGCATTACAGCTGGACACCTTCCCATATGTGACTGGAGAAGTGGCATACCAAACTGGTACATCATGGAGAGAACTTGGGGCCCCCTTATTGATATTTATTCAAGTCAATGGAGCTACACCAAGGATTAGTTTGATCCAGTATTGCAAGTTAGACTAAAGAGTTCAGTCTCTTAAAATAACCTTTTGCAATTATCTTATTCATGGTAAATACATTCAACAGCAGCTATAAGGATTTATCTGTTTTAATACCTTCCATGATATACAGTTACTATGAACTGGCTTCATACTACAATAAAGCCATTGTAATCCTCTTTATAACAATTTCAAAAATGCTTCACTCTTGACTGATACCAGACTGAACAGAGGTCATAAGCAATAGGCAGTCATGTACTTATTCAAGTTCCATATTGGCTTATTACAAAAGGTGTTAATCATTTGGAGGCTATACTTTATCATAAATCAATCTGGTTTCTCTTCTCAATTACTCTGCCCAGGATTTGACAGAGAACAACATAAATAGCTTCTGGCACTTACTTGTTCTCCCAGGGTCTTGCAAGATACTCTAACCCAGTGCTGGAAATGATTCCGAGATGTCGGAGGCCCAAATAAAGATAAACCAATACTTTCTGTATCTTCAGCTGTGATGTTCCTAAAGAATTTTGAAGGTTCTTGTACCCATGGTCTTGGTCCACCTTCAAACAACATGTCTTTGGAAGAACCCAAAGTTACCAAGGCAACAGAAGAAGGATCTATAGTCTGGAAATGAACAAAAGTTATACTCATTCATATACACCATAACATACATAAATACATATATACACACACATATATATTAATAGGATACTGAAATCTATCAGGTGATCATACATTATAATGAAATTTTTCTCATTCTCAGTGGAAGAGCCATTTGATTATCATTTCTGTTTAGCTGATGATCTGTTCTACAAAAACTTTTATAAATATGGTTAATTCAGAACACAGCAGTACTAAAATGATTAGCAACAATTAAAAGTAAACTTTGCTCATTAGGGCTATGCCCACAGTGCCTTAGGAACTCTGTTTTTCCTTCTATTGATGATAATTCTCCAATCTCCCCCTCTTATGTTAACTGAGCTACTCCGGGGGGGAAGAGATTCTGAGTAAAATCCTGGTCCCACTGAAGTAAATGGCAATCTTCTCATTGATTTAAATAGGGCCAGATTGCACCCTCGATCTTTTGAAACCCTTCAGGTTGATTAATCTCCCAGGTACAGCTGCTCTTCAGAACCTGCATTTTACACCCTGACTTTATTTACCCCACTAAATGAAACGAAGGTCTCACTTCAAAACCCTACAGGAATATTAGAACAAATTCTGCACTGATTTAAATCCTAGCCCATCTCATTGATGTTGCCTGCAATGGAAATCAACAGGGAAATTGGTTTGACATTTTTAATATACAAAGAATCATCTGTTTCAAGTGTTCCACAACCTGATGTTAGTAAGACAGACCAAGACTGATCTGGACATAGGATGGCTCAATTCTTTCTTTGAAAATTCGTGCATGCTGGTTGGAGGAACATGGTTATAAATACTGGGCACAGACTAATTTTCACTCAACCCTCATAGGTTATTCTCATTGCACAGACATCCACATGTTGCCAAAACTGTAAGTTTATTCATTCATATGCTTTTGCCCTGTCCTTGACTCATATTTGTCTTCTTATGCCAAGGATTCTTCCACTTTTTCGCTCTGTGGACCACTTCACAAGAGACATTTTAATGGAAGACAACTCCTCCCAATGTCTCACCCCTGCATTTTTATACATAAAAATATTTCATTCTTCAGATGGCAACAACAAGGAAGAGTACTATGGATCACTGTTTGAAAACCACAGTTCTAAGGTCTTTCTAAAGTTCCTGTCACTGTGCTATCTAAGCACTGGCCAACAATGAAAAGATAACAGAGTAATCCCTAGAGTAGTCTATCCTCCCCTCTTCCATACACCCATGTCCCTTTTATTCATTGCCCTCAGAAGGGATGCACTGATGTCATATCTGTAATACTTCTAATGAATAGATAATATCTTAACTCAATGGGAGAGAAGATCTTTTATTCTGTTCTGGATAGCTCAACATCCTCCTGTCTGAAAGATGTGCAAGGATCTCCTCTTTTTTTTAAAAGACTTCTTTGATCTAATCATAGAATCATAGAATATCAGGGTTGGAAGGGACCTCAAGAGGTCATCTAGTCCAACCCCCTGCTCAAAGCAGGACCAATTCCCAACTAAATCATCCCAGCCAGGGCTTTGTCAAGCCAGGCCTTAAAAATCTCCAAGGAAGGAGACTCCACCACCATATATTCCATAATATGGAATCCAATTATTACTTCTGTTAAAGGCTATATTTAATTTCCCCAAACCTGGTGCATTCCATTTTGTAATCTCAATCTGTGTATTTTAACACCAAGAAATGAAACACTCATTCTTCAACTGATGCAATTCATATAACTTTTTCCCAGTCAAATGGACTCCTCATCCCCTTGTTAATACAATACCTATATTCACTTGTATAAACTCTTACATGTCAATTTAATCTTTTGAATTTACTATGTATGCTGTGTTCAATCTTCAGACACCCAACAGCTTACCTAGTTCATAGAAACAGAACCGAAAATTTGTGGCCTCTTTGCCCAATAAAACTGTATTGGGAGTTAGGTTTTTTTATGTAGTACTCAGAGCTGAATTTAGAATACTTTATAAAAGTAAAATTGTAATAAATATAGCCAGTAATTAAGATGATGGAATGATTATTGGCAGAGGCGAAGCAGAGTTCAGGGGATGGGAGTGGGACACAGTAGCAAATGGACTCTTATTTTATTTGTTTATTTTATTTTAACTATGTTAGTCAAGTATACTAGGTTAAGACAGACTAGTGTGTATTTCCAAATTGATCCCCACTTTCAGATTGTTGAACAGAACGTGCCCTTGTCAAAAAATCTCTACAATGAGCCTTGGGGATGAAATACAAAATTAGTGTTTTAGTTCCATACTGGTGAAACAGGATTTCTTTTACTCTGATCAATGCTGCAGAAACAACTCTTGGACAGAATGTAATCTTTTAAAGTGAAATCATCGTTAGACAGATGCAAATTTATTTATTCCAGATTCTGAAACACTGCTATCCTAACATGCAGCAGTGGTAGCCTCTGTGGATTCAGTCGCTGGCATCTAATCATGAAGCTGACACACTGTCCTATGCTTCTTAATCATTCCTTGTGAATACTGTCCTTTAAATGAGGTTCTTATTTCACTTTGTAACCTGTCCAATGGTGAAACACATTTTAATTGTTTGCAAGGGAAAAAATACTCAGTTCCACAGACTACACAGGCCACCAGACTCTGCCTTTTTTGCCAAATAATAGTTTTGTGTGCTGTGACTACAGGAGTAATAGGCTACTCTTGCTTCTACCTGCTGCTGCGGCCATGCAATTGTGACTGCTCTCATTACTAGCTTATTAGGCCAATCGTTAATCATTTTAAACAGACAGTTAGATACAAGGAAGGCTTTGAACCTCCCACCACTTCAAAGTTTACTGATGAGTAACTAATTAATTCAAGTTATAATATTTTTCTCCAAAATGTATCTGAGTTCAGAAAGATTCAATTTCTTGAACTGATTGACAAGTCCAGATCTCTTTATAAGCCTTGTACTATGTGTTATCATTTAGCAGCATATTTTCTCCATTTAATTCACCTAATAGCACCTTCATCTCCCAGGATTTTATATTACTCTTATTGAGATCTGCAATATACTGCCTTTGCTTTATTACTGTGGTTTTTATAGTTCCTTTTTGAAGTGAAGATGACTGTGGGCAAATTTAGTACAATATTCATGAAAGTTAGAGACTAGCAAAACTAGCTAAAAACAGGAATAGTTTGAACAGCATATGCACCCAAGTTCTCTTACTCTCACATGAAATGTCCCTAGCTTCTGTTTGCCAGAAACTGGGAATGGGTGACAGGGGATGGATCACTTGATGATTACCTGTTCCATTCATTCCATCTGGGGCACCGGGCATTGGCCACTGTCAGAAGACAGGATACTAGACTAGAGGGACCTTTGGTCTGACCCAGTATGGCTGTTCTTATGTGTTCTTATATGCATCACTCTTCCAGCAAATCCACACTCATGGTGACAGTATCCCCTGTTATTCAAGTCCTAGGTCTTTTCTTCAGTCCTGTCTATCTGTGATTGTTTTCAGATAGCACCAAACTCGCTTTCATTTCTGAACTAAGGGAGAAACAGAAATACAGTGCACTAACCCACTACAGAATTCTACCAAGTCCTTTGTTTGGCTTGGGGCACTGATTTGGTCAAGAAACATCTCAAAGACATCAGGTAAGTCGTGGTACAGAAATCAAACTGCCTGCAGTAAGTATTGGCCCTGATTCTGAAAAGTACTTAAGCCACTGGTACTTAAGCACATGCTTAAGAGACATGATTACCTGAATTGAGACAGCCCCAGTCAATGGACTCTCATTTTCATATACTAGCACATAATATCAAATCTCAGTTAAGATTTAAATGAATTTTCAAGAGTAGACTGTTTTAAGAGCATCAATTAAAGAGAATATCTTACTACAGGCTTACTTTTAGTGGTAGGTAGGCAGCAATGGTGATGCTAGCACTAAGGTGGACATGACCATGAGTGTAACTAACAACAAGCGTTGTGTATCCTTGAGCCTCAGCTTTCACTCTGACTCCACTGCAAAAATCAGAACTTGGCATAAGTCTTCCTGTCAAAAAAAACCCAAACAAATAAAGAGTAAACATTTGGGGAGAATAAGCGAGACATTTTAATACAGATTTTAATATAGCTTTCTTGACAGTATTACGTTTGTGCTAGAAATATGCAGGGAATATGTACAGATAATTTCAGTGACTACACGGAGGAAATGCAATACCCATAGCTCTATTGAATAATGTATTGTCATTAGCCTCAAAACTGTCACCTTATGAAACATACAAACTTATTAAACTTCTTTTCCTTCCAAATTTTTCTAAAAGGACATCAGTCTTCTCTTTGGGATACAGAGTAATATAATTTGCTCTTTCTTTTAGCAGAGTATTTTTTCCTTGCTGTTCTAAATTGAAACGGGCTTGTAATTAAGCCAAAATAAAATGCACGGTTAAAACAATCTTTACTGCACAGAGCATGATGTATTACCTACATTCAAGTTAATGATTAAGTTCTAAGTTTTATCTAGGGGAAATTAAGTTCTTAGTTTCATCGCATGTGCCTGTTTGCTAACCCAGATGTTTTGTGGGGTTTTCTTTTCTTCTCTCTCTTTTTTTGGGTTTAACTGGATTTTTTTTTAACAGAACAATGGCAAATAAGGTACATATCCAAACTAGTTAGAATGACATTTAAAAGAGCTGCCTCTTCAGCAAGCAGACGCCCTAAGTCTAACAGTAACTGCTTTGGCGGCTCAATAATACAACACAAGGAAGAACTAACTAACAAGAAGCAGGCTAACAAAGGATTGTGGGTGCAAGGTAATCTGGTCCAGCAGACACCAGATGACAACAGAGTTGCTCAGCCTGTTAGTGCAGAAGGATTCATTAATGGCAAATTTAGAAGAGATTGCACATTCCATATTCTGGTCAGACAAGTGCTATAATGGTGGAAACAGCTGGGGAAGCACCTGAGGAAATGCACTGCTTAATATAGTAAGTTTCAGAAGGACAATCCTTTGGCCCTGCTCCAATGACTGCAGTGAATGGAATTTAAGGAATTGCTATCCTCGGCCCCCATTTCTCCCAGAAAACAAGCAAACAATCAAATGGGTGAATGGCTTAATAGAATTGAAAAGAGAACTTTATGCAAAGTTGGGCACGGTATCATAAGTGAAAGAATTTGGTATCTTCACGTCAGCCAATGTGACTCCTCAAAACCTGACATAATTCTGGTGAGGAAATCATCAGGTCTGTTACAGCAAGGACTTTGAAAAAAACAGTGGAAAGGTCTGGGGTAGAGCAGCGTGTATGTGAGTCTGAAGATTCCTCAGTGTACTTGGCTTATTTGTTGCAAGAGATTTTGGTATCCTTAAATACTAAAAGACAAAGAAATAAAAATGCTACTCCAAAAAAAAGAAAATAGGCATCTTCAATATACAGAAATGTTGGACTACTATGGTCTCTGTATTTGCAGTTGGACATCTCTCTAGTAATCTGCCATGAATCCATTAAAATAGGCCATTACAAGTAGGTGAATGATTTATATTTGTAACATCTCTATTTGTCTTGTAACCTGAATTGAATACATGGGGTGGGGGTTGTTTTGTTTTTTAAAATCACCTTGGAGTGGTTTGAAGACACCGCGATTTTCTACCTCCACGACTAAGTCGAAATGTGAACAATCGCTCAGTGTGACCATCTCACTGGTTTCAATATTCACTAGGCCATTAATCCTCAAGGGCAGCTCCAGTATCTGACCCACACGTGCTTCAACTTGACACGGCGTGAACTCCATGCCACTAGGTTCAGTTACATATACCTGAGAGAGACAAGAAAAAACAATAACGTAAGACACAGCTACATAAGGAACTAGAAAGAAAGTTTAAGACTCAGTAATTACGTTTTCCCCCCAAAAAACCCCTCTCAAGGACACCTCACCACAGTCAGTTTCCCTCTGAGAGAAGAGGGCTTGAAACAACCACCCAGAGTCCCAACAGTGCTGTTCCCCATAACTGCCAGGGAGAGGTGCGAAAGAGTGACTAGAAGTGTTCAGTAAAATTTTAATACTCTGCCAGACAAGAGATCTTTTCACAAGTGCATTGAAACCTGCACCTATTTTTATGCACTCTATAATCTGCTGCCTATTTTATTCTGGGATTATTTTAAAACGTTGGTCCTTCCCCCCCCCCCCCATAAGACACTACCACAGATTCCGACAGAGGAGGAAGTTTCTGAGCTGAAGTTCCACAGGTATAAGGGCTTGAGCCAATCCCATTGAAGTCAATGGGAGTCTTTCAACCAGTTTCAATGGGCTTTGGATCAAGAAAGGAGATGGCAGCACTGTATGAGGGAAATGCTGGTGGAAGTTTATATTAATTTTTTCTATAACTATGTTAATAGACTCTGATTAAGGGAGTCTTTTTTCAATAGTGTATTTATAAGAGATTGTCAAGGGTGCTCAGTGCTTGGTATAGTTTGGGGTTTTTTGGTACAATAGCGGAAATCTCAGTAAGTAAAATGACAATCTGGAGCTTGATCCTGCAACTTTTATTTATGCAGGTAATCCTTACGTGAGAGGCGACAAAGAGTCCTGTGGCACCTTATAGACAAACAGACGTATTGGAGCATAAGCTTTCGTGGGTAAATACCCACTTCGTCAGATGCATGATGTGAGAAGCACCTCTGACATCAAAAGGGTTACATGTGTAAGTAAGAGAGGCAGCATCAGATCCTAGGAGTCTAGATGGTCTGAAATGACTAATAGAATGTTTAAAGACATTATCTGAAGTGTTGATGAGCAGGCCCTTGAATAGTATTTGTTTGTTATTCCGATTTGTTACCTTCTTGCTAATGTTAAAGAAACCATCACAGACGGATTGTAACACTTCATAACCATTGCTGTGATCAAAGCTTTTCATTTGCAGCATCTTTAACTTTTTAAACCATCTGCCAAAAGCTTCAGGGTAAATTGTTAGACCATATGGTATGGTGTTAAACTGCAATCCTCATGGAACATAAACGACTATTCTTATAACTTGCTTATCAAGGTCAGCAGATAAAGCTCCTACCCCAAACACTTCAATTTATTCCAAACAGAACACATAACATTTAACACGTTAGCAGAGATGCTCACACGATGCTCAATTTGCTCAATGTATTGCTCTAAAAGCTTGCATGGTAAGAAGCATTTTTCTGAGTTATTACCGTCTATAAACTTTGAATTGTATTTGGAAATAGAGCTTTAATTAAAAACATCATTTCTGAATCTCCTGCAGGCAACTGTCATATTGCTAAAAAGTGACATCTTTGGGACACAGATAATATGGGCGCAGTGTCACAGAAAGATTGTAAAGTAGTTTCCATCTTGCTTTAACACTGGTTTAATGGCCAGATCATCACAGTTTACACATTTAAACACTATGTTTAATGTCCATTTAAACTACATTTTGTAGAATTGATGTAGTTAACTTAAAATACATTAAAAGCAAGCTGGTGCACCCTGCAAAGATGTTGCAGATGCAGTTTGACCCAGCAAGTTTTATTTCGAAAGATTTTTCCCAACACAGTCATATTAAACAAAAAAGTCTGGCTGCTTAAATAGCTCTCTTTTCATTACGGGACAGTACTGGAGAGTTTGACAAGCACATATTCTCGCACACTCTTGCCAGAAGGAGCTCTGAAGCAAACAAGGGTACAATGTGGAACCTGAAGGATTTTAGCTATGCTGGATAAGGGGGGGGTGTCATAAAAGCGATTCGGCATTTTGGGTCACCAGTGTCTGCAATTTTAATCCAATCAGTTCACTCCACATCAGCTGCTAAATTATATCCATGCACCTGTTATGCAAGTGCATTCTTCCAAGTCTACAAATGCTCTTCCGAACTCAACTGCCACCTTTTCTTGGAGATGGCTAGCATTTTTTTTTTTACAAGGCTCTCAGTTGGATGTAAGGGTGAAAAGTTGCTTGCCAGACTGGGTCTCTCATCCCTTGGCATAAATAAGCATATTCCAGGTGAGGAGTTCTCTATTTATAACCATATTGTACACAAATATACCTGCTCCAGGTCTCAAAATAGTCAACAAAAAAAAACCACACACAAATTTGCAGCTCTCAACCACCATCTCTTACTTCTACTGCTGGAGTTCAGGAGCAAGCTTTTACCCCTCTATTCAGGTTCTCTCTACAATGCTTAGCTTTTTAAAGCTGTACTTCTACTCTGTCTTTTTCAAAAGCCTGCATTCAGGCCATGCTCATGCTTCAGAGGCTGCATTTCACTGAGGGTGATACAGACAAGGGTATGTCCATTTTGGCCCCAATCTAGCTTAAAAAGTTAAGCATGTGCTTACATGCCATGCTATATTGGGGCTGCCTGTATTCCCAAGAGCACCATGAATGCTACACAATAGTTGAATACAGTGAAAAATAACACCATTTTTGAAGTATACAGAATGCAGTTACCCAAGATAGAATCTGACCAGAACAACTGGGGCTACTGCCTTCTCTTTTGTAAAATAAATTAATAAAATAAAATAATATGGTTTATCCATTAAATTTATTTTCTTCCATTTTTTGTTCAGGATTACTTAAAGGCATTGGCCAGTTCTCCATTAAGGAACATTAAGCATCATGTAAGTTCCCCCAACTTCCAAAGCTGCAAAAATGCGAGGAAAAAGTATTTAAATTCATGGAGCTCCATCATAAGCCTCAAGTAAGGACTTTTCTGCTCCCCCACTTCTTGTCACAGAGATTTTCTTGTAGGTAGATTGTGATGCTTGTTCCTAGATTTTTCGCCACTAGGTCACTACCACAAGCAATGATTATTCTATGAAAGCAGTAAGAGCGGGTGTGGGTTTGCAGAGAGGTGGCCAATGCTTCCAAATGCCTCCTGACTGAGGTATATTTTTTTGTCCCCCTATCCTTCTAAAGC